TCTGGTAGAAAACATGCCCACTCTATGGTCTGTGGGCAACTCATTTGCATCTTACTTATATTTTATGGTTTTGTTAAAAGTGTAAAAATGAAAGTATGGACACCAGTTAGGGGGCTTGGCTGTACTAAATATAGAAGCATAGCATCCACCGGGAGCTCATTCTGTGGCCTCAGAATCATCACTCAGAACCATCAGCTGTTTAATGGATCACACCACCACCAGGATAAGGCTCAGTCTGCCATCCACACTGCCTGGGCACAGAGGGCATACTTGGTTAGGTCTTAAGTAATTCCCTGAAGGATACTCCAGTGACCCTATCCACTCAGTAAAGACAACATAGGAAAACTGCCAATTTCAGCCTCATCAAAGTAGTCTTGCAGGCTGAGGATAAATTCCTGTGAATGTGAGTTGTCCTTATGTTTCTCATGCTTCAACTGTGCAAGCAAGGGCTCATGGCAGCTAAGCTGGAGAAAGAAATATGGGACATGGCAGCTCCTGGTCACTGCATCTGACTGGCACATTGTTTTTAGGTTGTTACCCTAGCTGATGGCAGCTAGATTGTTGCCCTCTGCCTGACTTGTAGATTTGAGCTGACTTTAGAGTACTCAGAATAATCAAGTGTATATCTACAGGGGCCAGTGAATCAAGTGTATATCTACAGGCTCTGAGGGTAAGGGTGCTTGCTGCCAACCTTACAATCTAGTTCAATCCGAGTGACCCATGTGATGGAAGGAGAAAATTAACTCCTATAGACTGTCCTTTGACTTATACTCCTCCATATCCCTACATACACCCATCCCCATGCCTCCACATACATCAAATAAATGAATAAATCAACATTTTAAAATATTAAAAATTTTCTTACATTTTAAAATCATGTATAGATATGGGGGTTTTGGTATGTGTGCACATCCATGCACATGAGTGCAGGTGCCCTCAGAGGACAGGGGTGTCAGATCCCGAGGAACTAGCATCATGTGAGCCACCTGATATGAGTACTGGGAACCAGCCAGTAAGCAGCACCCCTCCCATGACTTCTGCACCAGCTCCTACCTCCAGGATCCTGCCCTGCTTGAGTTACTGTCATAGTTTACTTTGGTGATGAAAAGCAATGTAGAAGTATAAACTGAATAAACCCTTCCTTCCCAGCTTACTTTTTAGTCATAGTGTTTCATGGCAGTAATATAAATCCTGACTAACACAAATTGGTACCAGGAGTGGGGAATTTCTGACAAGTTTTAGGGAGGACTGTGGAAAGATTTTGGAACTTTGGGCTAGAAAACCCATTGAGTATTGAGGCCATTGTGGGATGTTCTGGAGGAACTTGAAAGATAAAAATGTTGTGAGCAGTGCAGAAGATGGAGGCTTGGCTTTGATCATCTGGAAGAGCAGCAAAAGAAAGTGCTCTTAACCACTGAGCCATCACTCCAGCCCTAACAAGCATTCCTTAGAGAATATTTGTGCAATGCTGAATACCTGTCATAGACAAAGTCTATAAAACTATGTGGAAGAGGAGAGTTTTACAACAGTCAGCTTGCTGGCCAATGATGAGCCACAGCCATGGCTGACCTTTTTCTTATTGTTAATATTGACTGCCTACTCCAATTTTGTGTCTTATTTGCATATTCTTTTCTTTGAATGACATTTTGTGGCATTGTGTATGACAGTATGAGAAGCATCCATCATATGACATGGCAGGGAGCCCATGGCTCATTTGCCAGCTGCAATGCAGGCATTGGTGGACCAGATGCTTAAGTGAGCTATCATTGAAGACCAGAGATAGCACCCAGAGAAAATGATCCAACCTTCCAGGTGTGTCTAGATGATGCACTGTCACCATTTCTGCTGATCTTTGTGTCCTCTTGTTTGAGGACTATGTTTAAACCTGTGCTTTGTGCTAATAAAATGACTGCAATTTTTTCAAATAAGGGAAATAATAAGGTATGTTCATGAATGTCGTGATGATCTCATGAGTGGAATATTGGGATGTTCAAATAGGTGATTTGGAAATAAGCCAACCTTGCTATGAATCCGTAACTGGCCACTAGCTGGGTGACTTTGTACAAATTACTGAGCTCTCCCTTGTTCTTCTTCTTGTTCTTCTTCTTGTTCTTTTTCTTCTTCTTTTTCTTGCCCCCCCCTCCTCCTCCTCCTCCTCTTCTCCTCCTCCTCCTCCTCCTTCTCCTCCTCTCCTCCTCCTCCTGCTCCTCCTCCTCTTCCTCCTCCTCCTTCTCCTTCTCCTCCTCTCCTCCTCCTCCTGCTCCTCCTCTTCTTCCTCCTCCTCCTTCTTGTCCTTCTTCTTGTCCTTCTTCCTCTTCCTCCTCCTCCTTTCCTCCTTTCCTCCTTTCCTCCTGCTCCTCCTCCTCCTCCTCTCCTTCCTCCTCCTCCTCTTCCTTCTTCTTGTCCTTCTTCTTGTTCTTCTTGTTATTGTTTTTGTTCTTGTTCTTCTTGTTCTTGTTCTTCTTGTTCTTGTTCTTCTTCTCCTTCTCCTTCTCCTTCTCCTTCTTCTTCATATATAAAAGATGATAACTCTTCCTGCCCAGAGCACCCTCTGCCCTTTCCCAGTGTGGAGACATGTAGGATGAGCAAAGCCAATACTGCCATTATGTCTATGTGTGTGTCCAATGTGTCTGCATGTGCAGTGCATGTCTGTGTGCAGCCATATGCATGTATGTATATTTGCATATATGCATATGTGTGCATGTATGTGCCTGTGTGCACATGCATGCATGTACATCTATTTGTGTAGGTATATGTTCCATGCATGTCTGACATGCAGTAGAAATTCCATTTCCCTCTTCCCTCCACCCCCAGTTTCACGTCCTGAGTTCCTACTCCTTTAGGATCTGACATCTGGGTCACCTTTTGGAGAAGTCTACCCTGACTGCTCTTGTCATGGACTCTTGTCCCTCTGTGCCCACTACTGAATTATATGTCTCTGTTTCTTTCTTTTCAACCAATTGGAAGCTTCTTAGAGCAGAAAGGCTCACTGGCTGAGTTTTCCATGCCCAGGCATAGCTCAGTACGGACTGCACAGGAATGGCTTCAGCGTTGTGAATGCATACGTAACGAAGAAATGAGGTTATGAACGAAGGACTGATGTGAAGGACTGGAGCCCTGGCTAAAGCATGCCCAGCTTGCACAGGAGTGAGGGACAGTAGCAGAGGCAGTCTGCTCAGAGTACATGTGGAGTCCAAGTCCCAGCCATCAGCAAGCCTGTGTCCTGCATCTGTGTGCACTGAGGGCTATGCAGAGCTAAACTGGAATCTAAGGACGTCCCTGGCCCTTGAATGGTGACACGCTCCCTTCCAAACAGGAGTAGGGAGGTCCCAACAACGGACAGTGACAGTTATTAGAGAATAGAAAATGACAAAGGAGAAAGGGTCAAATGTGGCAGAACTTTGAATCCTGCAGGGTCCTCCAGTGGAGGAAGGCTGGCACCTATTGGGGACCCAGGTCTGGGGTTCAGAGTAGGGATGGTTAGCCAGCTCTGCCTGAGCAGTATTCAGGCCAGGGGGCTCCAGGAGGGCTATGTGTCCCTGATTACACTGTCTCTCTACTGGTTCAGCCTCTCACAGCTTCTCTGGGTTCATGCATCCGCCCCCAAGCATACCAGATCTACAGAGTTCCAAACCAGTGTGGGATCTTTCCTGTCCCCTCACTTTCCTTTCCCACTTTCTGCCTCTACCTCCCAATTTCTTTTCTACTCCCATGCTCCAGCCTATCTTCGGTTATAAAAAGAAAAGATTTTTACTAAGAACAGTTTTTTTCAAAATCACAGGTCTCAGACCATTAATGAATTGTGATTTAAAAGAGTCCTGGCCAGGTTTAAAAAGAGATGGAATAGAGGACCAGCAAGATGACTCAGCTAGAAAAGCCATTTGCTGCCAAGCCTGACAATCTGAGTTCGATCCCTGGGGACCACATGGTGAAAGGAGAACGCTGACTCCTGAAATTTTTCCTCTGACCTCCACACATATGCCATGCCATGCCATGCCATGCCATGCACACAGCCTCCACACAGTAAGAAAATGAATTTTAAAATGAGTGGAGTCAGATAGACAACATTAGCAAGTGACCCACATGGAAGTGTTTTGAGAAACTTCTTACTCAGAGCTCCAGGTACAGGGTTGTGATTTTCTATGTCTTTTGGTGAGTTTGAAACCCGCTGCTGTCAAGCTCCTCATATGTCCTCTGTATACACTCCCCTGAGGAGTAGGTAGAGTGAGGCAAACATGTGCACATGTGGGCTTTCTCCCCTTGGCTCTTGGTGAGGCTAGCACAATCCTTCCTACATTTTTAAAGTTTATTTATGCAATAAGAATCTTAACATGGAATCTCCCCTCTCAAGGTTTAAATGCAGGACACATTCTTGCTGACCATGTACAACTTTGGAAGATACATCTCCTACACATGTTCCTCTTGATTGACAGGGATGTCACACCCAGCATGACAAAGCTGAAAAGGGAGGCAGGATCATCCCACTCTTTGCTTCTAGGACTCTAGCATGCGTACTTCCTGTCAGTACAGTCACATAGGAGCCACATCTGTGAATTCAGAGAAATCCAGATAGAAATAATGAATGGATGTCTGCATGGGAACTGGAAGTGTAGACTGTTTCCCTTGTAATTGTTCCCTAGATAATACAGGGTGCTGATTCACGGTGCTTGCATTGTATCAGATGTTGTCAGCTGTCAAGAGATGACACAGGGAATTGTGGAGCTCTCTGCAAACACCGTGCGTGCCGTTTGATGGGAGAGACATGAGCATCCATAGTTACTGGCAGCTATGGAAACAAGACCCTGAGGATGCCCAGAGCCAACTGTCTTTCTGAGACTGGGCTGTGTAGATGGATACAGAGAGCATGGTCCATGTATCTAGTTAATTTCAGGGCAGCCTCTGTAAAGGATGACTTGAAGCATGGAGGGGGAGCTGTGCTGAGTGAAATAAGCTCACCACTACCACCCCGGCCTACCTCTTGTCTCTGTTCTCCTGGGCAGGTCGTGTATGTCACTGCAACCTTCCCCTACATCATGCTGCTGATCCTCCTGATCCGAGGGGTCACATTGCCAGGCGCCTCTGAAGGCATCAAGTTCTATCTGTACCCTGACCTCTCCCGGCTCTCTGATCCACAGGTAAGGGCTGCAGCTCAAAGCACAATGTCACCCACCAGCCACTGAGGCTGATCCGCTCACCCCCAGGTAAGTAGGTGGAAGCCTGTGGCTTCCTCAGGATAATAATTATTAATGCACCAATTAAACACACAGGAAAACAAGTGTATTAAAATGCAAGTGGAGGACATTTTAAGGTAACTGTGTGGCCTGGTAACAGGGACACTTCTTGGTGAGTGCCTTCAACATATGATCCCACCTGGAATGCCTGGAATCAAACATGTCAGGTTTGGAATTTTTCTGAATTTTGGAATATTTCATATATCTGATGACCATTTTGGAGATGGTGTCCAGTTGTAAGCATGAGATTTATTTGTTTCATGTATATCTTACATATGTATTTTTAGTTGTTTTGTCTGTGAAACAAAATCTCTTTCCCATGAGCTTTTCTACTTGTATTATGACATTCTGGAAGTTTCAGATTTTGGGTTTGGGGATCCAGGCTTTTTTTGTGTGTATGGGATCACGTGATCATACAGTATCATGATTTCAAGGCAACATTCATCATAGATAGTGTATTTTTATTTGTTTTTAATTTTAATTAACTGATTTTAGTCGTGTGTATGCGTGTGTATACCATGCATGTGTGGTGTTGGAGGAGGGCACAGGTGTCAGATCGCCTGGAGCCAGAGTTACAGGTGGTTGTGTGCTGCCTGATGCAGGTGCTGGGAACTGAATTCCGATCCTCAGGAAGAGCAATACGTGCTTTTAACCACTGAGCCATCTGTCTCTCCAGCCCTTGCTGTAGATATTTAACTTAGCCATACCACCATCGTATCTAGGCTTTCCTTCATGAGAAGTCTGTGGCTTGTTGACAACACTCACCATCACAAGTAAAGGGTATGTTAAACTTTACTTAGGACTTGGTTAAAATTATGAGCTTATCATTTTCCCTGCCTGATGTCACAGACTTGTCATGCGGCGTCTTGGGGAGAAGGTGGATCTTTACTGTAACTGGCTTTCTTGGTAGAATAGTTCACACCCAAACCTACCCTCAACCCCACCTCCACATAAAGAATTGGAGAAACTAGCTCACCTTTAGTCAGGCCTGGATTAGTCTAGTCATGAGTAACAAGTGTTTATGCCTGAGCCCCTCTGACTACTCATAGCAAAGTGCTTGGGAGTATGTTAAACAGAGACCCCCTCATCAGCCAAGCCCTCAACCTGTACTGCATGCCTGAAGCCTTCAGGGAATCTCCTAGACTCTCACCTAGGTTGGAGGTATCCAATTACCACTTCCTCAGAGCCCTGTACTTATACACAGATACATGCAGATACACATGCAGACCCAGACATGCATATACATACAGAGACACACAAGTACACATGGACATACATAAATAAACACAGACAGACACAGAGAAGGAGAAAAACACACATGAACATGCATGCACACAGATAAAAAATGTTCATGAGCACACGTGATCATGCAGATACACAAACACACACAGAGAGAAAACAAATTCACTTGTTGTCTTAGTCAGGGTGTGTATTCTTGCACAAAACATCATGGCCAAGAAGCAAGTTGGAGAGGAAAGGGTTTATTCAGCTTACACTTCCATATTGTTGTTCAGCACTAAAGGAAATCAGGACAGGAACTCACACACGGCAGGAACTTGGAGGTACGAGCTGATGCAGAGGCCATGGAGGGGTGCTGCTTACTGGATTGCTTCCCCTGGCTTGCTCAGGTTGCTTTCTTATAGAGCCCAGGACTACCAGCCCAGGCCCTCCCCTTTGATCACTAATTGAGAAAATGCCTTACAGCGGGATCTCATGGAGGCATTTCCTGAGGGGAGGCTCCTTTCTCTGTGATAACTCCAACTTGTGTCAATTTGACACAAAACCAGCCAGTACACCTGTACATGGATGCACATATATGTACACACAGAAACACATGCATGTGCACACACATCTATACACAGATGGATGTGTACATACATATACACACAGATGAATACACATGGACACACAGCCTGAAAACACAGATTGAACCCAAGGTCATCTCAGGTTCCCATTGTCTTCCCAGGTCTCTTTCTGAGCCTCAGTTTCTCCATCAGTGGCCTGAAAAGGTTGAAATCAGCTGGTGGTTCTTCCAGGTAGATTTTATGAGAGTATAGCCTGGCAAGCTATGGCCTCTGGTTCAGTTCAGACCCTCTGCCTGTTTTTCCACTCTTCCTGGAGACGGCTTGCAGTGCTGTTTCGGTGTGGCCAAGAAAGAGCTGAATAGCAACACGCTGTGTGGACATCTGAATTGGGGATCCCACAAACACCCACATACTCAGGGAGTCACTGATGAACCCCCAGGCTCAGAGGTGGTTTTACACAGAGGTACAATGTGTTCCTGTCATATGAAATGGCTACATCATCGGACACACAGAGAACATCCTAAAGGCTGAATCCCAGACTCCAGCCACACCTGGACTTGGCCCACCTCGGCTTGCAGGGCTGATGCATTTACCTTTTAGTTTTTGCTGACCTCTGCCCCAGAGCATCCTGGGAACACCCAATGCTCACCAGATCGTGTTGTTTCTTTTCTGTTCTCCACACCCTGTGCTCCTGGTGTTGTGCAGACTACTGCTTTTTCCACTCAAAAGCAGGATTGGCCCCTCAGTAGTTTTCAGAAACGACACCTGACTCCTCCAGGCCACTTTCTGGCCAGACAAACAAACAGCTGTTTGAAATGTGAATCTGATTGGCAGCTCTTCACTTAAATCCTTTCTGGGGTGCTCATGGTTACCTGAGTAATTCCAAATGATGGGGACCCCCAAGACTTCTGGGACCTGTATCTACACTGTTTTTTCATCCCTGCCCTGCTTTCTAGCTCCAGGTTTGTTCCAGATAAGAGCCTCCTTTCTGGACCTCAAATATATGTATCCTCTCTGTCACAGGACCTTTACACATGCCATTTCTTTACAGACAACTTTTCATTTGTCCCTAACTCCTTCTCACCCTAGCATTCACTCACCCTCTAGTACTCAGCTGAAGCAGGACTCAGGAAGGTCCTTGCCATCTGCCACTGTGAGCTGCCTCTGTGCCTCATGCCTACTTTCCAGGACACCCTTGTTGACTGTGGAATATTTATATAAACATATGTGCATGTACAAGAGGTATGATTATTTTATCTGTACAATGTCCTTTTTTTTAATCAGCTATTTGCTGACCCTGTACTTAGATAGAGGGTCTGTAAAATAAATTGAAAAAACAGAATCCAGGATCCAAGAGATGGTAGCTGATAGCGGTTGCTGGGTTGGCAGTGAGGTGAAGAAACAAATATGCTGGGTGGGGCGGGGGTCGCTGCTGTGTTCAGCAAGAAAGCAGCTGAGAGCAAGGTCCCCGTCAGCCTTGTCCATACTCCCCACACTCGGGCTAGCCCATGATAGGTATACAGTAGGTGCTCAGCAAATGCTTGCTCTCTGAATGTAAGAACCAGAACTCTTGATGTTTGGAAAGTTGTTTATTTGACAGAGACTCTGGCAGTGTCCTTACTGTCATGTCTACGAGCGCTTCCTTTAGTAAGGCCAAGTTATTCTATGTTGGTTTAAAGAATGATCCTGGCTTCGTTTCTTACTTGCACTTCAAGTTGTGCCACAAGGAAAAGTTCCCAGAAGCCATCACTGGGCCTGGCATTTGGTTGGCACCCTATTTCTTGAAGATGATCTTGAAGCCTCAGTGTTGGAGCCTCCTTCAGCCATGAACCAATAAAGGATGGCTCCATAGCTACTCTCATCTCTCCTGAGAGCCAGGGAGGAGACAGTGGGAAAATCTAGAGCTCTAGAGTATTGTCAGGTCAGGCAAGTCTCCAGCTTCTGAGCTTCTGAGCCCTTGGCCCCAAGCTGTCATGGGGAGTCTGGACAATTGGGGTGAAATGATGATCAGATAGGGTGTCTCTCCTGGCTAGGAATTCTGCCGGTCTCATGAGCTGTTCATCTATCTACAAAGTCCTGCAGAATGGCTGCTGAGAGTTGTTCTGGAGAGGCTACAGGCCTGGGCCCATCAATTTGCAGAGTACTAAATCCTGGTCCCTGGAGTCCTCAGGCTGGGAGGAGAGGAGAATCAGGCCACGCCCCCACCCCATGTCTACCTCTGAGAGAGGAAAACAGGCTAAGATGAGATCAGAGGTTCATGTCCTTCCATGGGGTCTACCGTCTGCACGAGAGAGAGAGAGAGAGAGAGAGAGAGAGAGAGAGAGAGAGAGAGAGAGAGAGAGAGAGAGAGAGAGAGAGAGAGAGAGAGATCCACCAGGCAGTCTGGTCTGGAGGGGCCTCAGCCTGGCCACTCACCTTTTCTCTTCATTTCCAGTGCCAAAGCCTGTGGGTAACTGCATCTGACCCTCACTGACCCTCACCTGCCTTCTCAGGCCTTCTCCCGTCTGGAGCTCCATAGTGGACCCTTCTGCTCCTTCTGTGCCTACTGCGCATGTGGGTTGGGGCTGGTGGTGGCACTACTCTGCCCTCTCTCTTTGGAATTTTGGTACCATTTCAGTTTTGTCATCACTAAAATGGAGCCAGTTCCTTTTCTGTGGGCAGAAAAAGATAGCTGTGGAAATTGTTTTAAAATTCTAATGGTGCACACATTCAGCTATTGTAGTCACCAGAGGGACCCCAGAATTTAAGACCCCACCATGTCCTCCCCAACACCCATATCTCTTGTCAGTCCTCAAGTTCATTCCCCCCCCCCATTGTTGACATCTCAAAGGCTTCTGGGTAGGACTTGCAGTTCTTCACTGTATTGTAGACTCAGTGAGGCAGGGGATATATACCTGTTATACCCACCGCCTGATTGTCAGCCCCTGGCACAGCCTATAGTGAGGTGGAATAATCCGTGACTATTTCTTGGAAGAAAGATAATTGATCCTAGGAGTGCTCACTGCCCATGTCATGGCAGCCCAATTTTTCAGTACATATGAACATGCTCTTCATGAAGCCGTGACTTGGAAATACTTAGTCTATTGCTGTCATGCAGCT